TACTTGCTAAGTTTGAAGACCCCTGCTATAAAAAATGAGACACATGAAATGGCTCTGTATCTTTAAGAGTCACGTGTGTTCCTTCGTAGCCTAGGAGAAGTTTTGTTTACTTCCGGGTTGTTCAAGTCGAAAACAACAGAGGGGTACCAACACGCCCACAGGCGCGGAGCAAAGCGGATTAAAGTACCGCAGAGATGGCAGGCGAGGCTGAAGATGACATTCCGGGTAAATATCAGTCATTGTCGCCTCTTCTGACTCTCAGAGAACCGGTGGTATTGTAAAATATTCTTTAGCTGTAATGTTCACCTTCGGCTAGCTTCAGGCTAACGGAAAGTTAACCTCATGATATTGCATTTCTCCTCCCGTTATTCTGTTTTATTCTACACGAGTGCTTTAGCTATTAAGGTCAAGTCATTTTTATGAATTTATTCCTCATCATTCCTCACTTTGAATCAGTTTGAACGTGATTAATTATTAAGTATCTTTTTCCCCCTGTCCTGATATTTTCATAATTTATTGTCGATGCTAATGTTAAACTCTACCACATGAAAAAGGTGTTTTTTAGTTGTAGTCAATTGCATTTACTCTCAAACAGTAAAAGGAGAGTAAAAACGGTCTTACTAGATTGTTTTAATTTCATGAAAGTGCTTCTTATGCATATCCGTGTCTATAATAACACTAAAGCAATAAAGCAATAGCAAACAATGCATAATTTTTTATATTTTGATACAAAATACATTTTGTTTTCTCCCCCCTTTTTGTATTATTGTGTTTCTTTTACTCTTTTTTCTTTGATGAAGGAATAAAGTAAGTAAGTAATAAATGACCCCATCCAAAGAACATTTTTTACAAAATCTGTAACCCTTTAAAAACGTTTATGTCATTTTTTTCAGTAACAAATAATGCCAAGTATTCAGATCTGCAGCACTCAAATTTGAACGTTTTCCTCCAATTCTTTTTTATGCACACTAGATCTTTTCCAAGTGGAAAAATATGTTATTCCTGAATACATATTTTGGCGTAGACTTCTTGTTTGAGAAGACAAGACATCTGAAGACTTCACATTGGGTTAACTTGACTCTTTGGCTAATTTTTAATAAATGTTAAAAAAAATGTAACCAAAATGATGCTAGTTAAATGGTAAAAACTACTAAATGAACATTTTGAGTTAGTTTAGTGTCTTAGTTTTGGTTTATTTGTTGGGATTATGCAAAACTTTAAAATATCCAACATGATACAAGCAACAAGTATGCACATAGCCATAAACCACGTAAACAAAAATATATACTGTAAGTTACTATGAGAAGAGAACTGAAATGAGAAGATTGTCTCAAAATGTTAGCTTAATAACTTGAAATTTTGAGTCAGGTATGAAAAACACAATTTTGAGTCATTAATTAAAAACTTTCAAATACTAACCTCAAAATTTGAATTATGCATAGCAAAAGCAGTTTCTGTTTTTCAGTGGAGGACACAAGCCTCTATAGACTGTACACACGTGGACACGTGTGGACATGTTCAGGATCTGAAAATTGAAGTCAAGACGTAGAGTGCATCAAATCTCCTTTTTTTTTAATGCCTATCTAGGTGGTAATGCCTGTAGTTATAAATCAAAGCTTCCCTATAAAGGAGTCTATGAGAAAATGAACCTGCTCCTCCCTTGAATTTGTTACCTCAGTAAACACTTTTCTGATGAATTCTCCGAGCTCCAATGCTTACTTAATTTGGTCAATTATGGTCATTATCAGAATCAGAAAGGAGGATGAAGCAAGTTAGGACCTTAATTTTGACTGACAAGTTGAAATCATATGAGTACGCTGTGTCCTTTGGTGTCACAGTCAGATCGTTCCACAGCAAATTATGTCTGGATTGGAAAAAAAAAATTACTCAGCTTGAGGTTTCACTAACACTAGACTGACATCAAGGTGGCTCCATCCATCCATCTTTTATATAAAGGGCTGAAACATCACATTTGGTGTGGTTAAACTTGAAAATTAATCCAAGTCGGTGATTGGTTTTCTTTGGTCTCTTCTTACAGAATCAGGGGCAGTTTTCACTTTTGGAAAGAGCAAGTTCGCTGACAACATTCCAAGTAAATTTTGGCTTAAAAATGACATCCCACTCAGAATAGCGTGCGGCGATGAGCACACCGCCTTAATAACAGGTGAGAGCCCCTCCTATGTTCCAGGTCATACTCATTTATGTGTTTCTACACTGCTGACAAACGTGAAAGCTGGAAATACTGTTTTGATTTAGTTTCACTTGCGCTGTCCTCTTAAAACATGTCTGCTCTAACATATCAGAACTGATATGTTTTCTCAGTTTTGTTTAGATGTACAAAAATTAGATTTATTAAAAAAAAAAAAAGATAAATACATTAACCCCCATTTTAAGATTTGGATTATTTTTTAATGTTGTGCTTTACAATATTAACCTACTGTCATTTTTAAAATACAAAATTATTTTTACTCTTTACTTTTGCTTGTATATACATGTTTACAAAAAATATATATTGTATAAGTCAAGCAAGTCAAAATTTCAATACATTTCTTCAATTTAAATTTTAGTTTAATTTCATGGTTATCTTTTGGAGGCGAGTTTTACAATTACGTACAATTACTTAATTTGAGGAAAAACTTTCTTTATTATCCAAATTAGATTTTCAGCTTTTTTCTCCTATCTTTCTTTATTATTTTGTTTTGTGACTGTAACTGAATCCAGCCCTGTGTCACTTTAAAATGAATCCTCCTGCTGAAACATCACAGACCCCCTTTCAGGAGATTTTCTCTGTCTTCACAGAAAATGGGAAGCTCTTCATGTTTGGTAGCAACAACTGGGGCCAGCTCGGCCTTGGCTCCAAAGTGACTGTCAACAAACCCACCTGTGTCAAAGGTTGGTCTTTATGGCACCTTCTCACTGTTTCAGTTCTAAAAAAAAGTTATAGAGGATGAGTAGTGCCACTGAAAGCTGCTTTCAGCCAGTTTAAACAGGCAGTGAGGAGGGAGTACCTGAAGAGGAGGAGACAAAGCCTTCAAATAAAGTGTGACTTTGTTGTAGATATAATCTCAGTCTAGAGGGCTAATAATCTGCTTAAATCTGGAGGGACATTAGCTGAGAAACAGTAAGTGCCACTCCTGAGATACAGAGAAAAGGATGTGTCCTGTATGAGGTTTGTTTAAGTATGAATTTAATCTGAAAATTATTTTAAAAAGAAAGGATCATTCTTACTGGAAATAGTTGTACAATACAGAAAATGTAAATGTAATAAATAATCCTAGAAATAAAACTCAAGTCTGATTAATTCTATTTTCTGGTGATTTTCTTTGGTCATTAGTAGATGGAAGGAGCTGGGCCTCAAAATTTATGCAATGTCTATGTTGGAAAAGTTCTATATAATATTAAAAATGACCACACGTTTTTAATTAATTTTATAACAGTTTGGAATTATTGTATTTTGCATTGAATTGTACTGAGAACACTTATTTTAAAATACAGATTTCTCTTGTATCTTACAAGTGTTTGGTTTGTTTTGCTTCATGAATCTTTTCTAAAGTTATCAAAAGATGATGAGGTAAGCTGCGCTCTCCAGGTTACTGTTCCCATAGTTTTAAATTTCTTTGTGATGTTTCAGCCCTGAAGTCTGAGAAAGTTCAACTGGTGGCTTGCGGGAGAAACCACACGCTTATCTGCACAGGTCAGTGTTTAGTGTTCACAGCTGTTTTCTTTCAGGTGCTGATGAATATTAAACACGCTTGTGTTGATGTGTGTCTGTAGCCAAAGGGAAGGTGTATGCCTCAGGTGGGAACAGCGAGGGTCAGCTGGGGCTTGGAGACTGTGATGAGAGGACGTCCTTCAAGAGACTTGATTTTTTTGATTCACAAGGATCAATCAAGATGCTTGCTGCGGGTTCGAACACCTCAGCAGCTCTCACCGGTAAGATCCACACAACACTATAATTCAGCTATTAGCTCTGATCACAGCTAATCAAAGCTTAACTGCCAGTAAACATTAAGGGAAGTCATATAATAAGTGCAAATTAAATGTTAGTTAATTTTCATTTTAAGATTTTTGATCATTTTTTTATGTATATTTCATAATTGTGCCTACATCTACACTAAGATATGCAGTTTTTGTATTGTTTTATTCATTGTATATGCATTTTATATTACTTTATTTAATTGTAAATTATATTTTTGCTATTTTTTGTCAGTGTAATGAGATTAAAACCATTAAAATTTTTAATGTATGTTTTTTTACCTTGGAATTTTTGTATCTTAATTATATAAATATATACTGAAGATTAAATTAAATTAAAATTAAATATATACATATATCATACATATTGTACTACTGGATGTTCAATTTTATTTTTTAGACTTTGCTCATAAATTAGATTTAAAGTAAAAAAAAATCTAAAAATATTATTGATTTTAAAATTATTTTTTTAAACATTCATGGTTTTATATTTTTTGTATTTTGTTTACATTTGTATTTCATCTGTATATTCTGTATTTTCTGCAGCATCTAAAATAAAAAAAAAAGATAATTTCATGAAATTAATTTGTAATTAAATTATAGTTGTTCTGTTATCAAATGAAAATTCTTGGTTAACAAAATTGAAGTAAAAAGATTCCGTATGTTTTAGAAAATGTTGCAAGTTTAAAACTGTTTAAAGTGTAGAAGAGAGAAAAAAGTGCCGTTAACAGATAAATGTGTTCCCAAAATAAACGTAATCTCTTTATTTATTTCTTTTGCAGTGAGTGGTAAACTCTTTATGTGGGGTGATAACACAGAGGGTCAGATTGGTTTGGGTAAGGAGAGTCAGGTGTCGTCACCCCACGAAGTCAGTGTAGGCCGACCAATCAGCTGGGTCTCCTGCGGGTACTACCATTCAGCTTTAGTGACAGGTGAGTAGAGATAGGTCCCAAATAACCATTCATCACTTTGCAGTGAGCCTTCAAATCGCACATGGTTACAGATAGCATAAGGAACATGGGTGACAGTGGCTAAAATACAAAAGAATAATTCTCACACGTGTGTATTTATACTAATGTAAAAATCAGAACAATAAAAGTTTTTTTAATGCAAGTTAATTGGCAAAAGTATCCTATTTCCATAGATTTTTATTCACCATATTATTTTATAATTGAAAAAATCAAAACTCCATTGTTCATTTAAATGTAGGTGTTTCGATTTGATTTTTGCATATAGATATTATTATAGAATTTAACATATTTTAAAATCAAGTGACATTTTTTTTTTAAATTTATTTTAAGTTTAACCAGAATTTTGTTTCCCCTATTCGTTCTGGACCTAAAAGCCAGTGGATAGCTCTGAGTATTTCCTATTTTTGTTTTCCCAGTGGATGGCGCTCTGTACACATTTGGCGAGCGGGACAGCGGAAAACTGGGTTTGGGCACCCACCAGCTTCCAGGGCACCGAGTGCCTCAGCTGGTGAAGAGCATCAAGGAGCCAGTGAGGCAGGTGGCCTGCGGGGGTGGACATACAGTGGCACTTGCAGGTAAATGTCTGATGACAGCAAATAAGACTTGTTATTTATTTATTTCCTTTAAATAACCAACTGAGAATAATATTCTCAGTTGGTTTCCCCCTTCCTTCAATCTTACTAAAAAGTTACAGAATGCTCTCAAACAGGATAATAAAATACTGCAGCATGCCGCAAACGCCTCTGATTGTGTTGGTCTCTTTCAGAGGGAAGTGTGTACACGTTCGGCCTCGGTCAGTTCGGACAGCTCGGCCATGGGACATTCATCTTTGAGTCCCGGGTGCCGCGTTTGGTTGAGCACTTCAAGAAGGGACGAGCCTGTCAGGTGGCCTGTGGAGAAAACCACACCGCTGTCATTACGGGTAAATCTCAGCTCGGTTCATTAATGCCGAGCTTCTCATTGACAACAGAGTTGAACAGAAGAGGTTCTTCACTGATCTGATGTCAGAAATTTTAATCTTTTTTTTTTTTTTTTTTTTTTTTTTTTAGAAGACGGGTTGCTATACACGTTTGGAGATGGCAGACATGGAAAACTTGGTCTGGGGGAAGAAAACTTCACTAACCAGTTTAAACCAACGCTATGCCTGCGATTCCTGAAGTATAATGTTCAGGGAGTAAGTGTTTCGTACAGACAGGCTTACATTTGTTCATGCAGTAGAACTTAAAATAATGTATAGGAATTATTTAATTAGGCTTGGAGATAATTCACAAGTTTAAAGACAGTGTAATTTTATTGTCGCATTTCTTATATCTTTTTAATTTTTTGTCTTCACTTTTTACATTTAAAAAAAAATTACGTTCGTTTTTCAATTTTTATTCATAATTGCATGTATAACATAAAATATATAAAATTTTAAATGAGTTTTACCTTTTAAAAAAATTTATTTTTTTGTAAAGCACTTTGAGTGCTCAGAGTAGAAAGTGCAATATAATAACCATTCCATTTGTCATTTTTTTTTTTACTTTTTATAGTATTTAAATACATAATTTAAAAAATTATGTATATTTGTGTCAATTTTGTGTCAATTTTTAAAATGTGTTATTATTTTTTTCATTACAAAAATCCTAAATACATACATATATAAAAATATAAAATTCATTTTATATTTTAAAAACATTTATTTATTTATAATCATATATATTTTCTATTTTTGTGCATTTCTGGGTGACTTTCATGCATGCAAATACTTTAATTTGGTTCCTGACGTGTCCAGGCGATGTGCGGCGGATGTCACATGGTGGTGCTGGCTCGGCCGAGGGCCCGGGAAACCGGTGAGGTCACGCTGGAGGACGACGATGTGATGGAAGATTTCCTGGAGAAACCATACGTGGAACTGCTGGGTAACACAGTTGACTCATCTACGCTGCAGAGGAGCCTCTCCGCCCGGGTTCGCAGGAGGGAGAGGGTGGGTATGAGGACAATGAACGTGACACTTTTTATAGTTTATCTACAGATAACAGTTCATTTCTAAAGAAGTTCATGGGTTAATATCGCTCATTGGCTAAACCCTCTGATTCAGGAGCGATCTCCAGACCAGTTTGGCACCATGTTCCGCACACTGCCTGCCATGACACCAGGTAACCTCCTCCCGCCACTGACAGCCTCCAGCCAGACCATACCACCACGACTGGCTCCGCCTGAGGTGATCCACGGAAAGGTGCTCAATGGCACTTACCAGCACAGGAACGAGGGGTCAATCCACCAGGGTACCTACTTCACCTGCACCGCCATTGCCTCATCCTCTTTCTGTTACATCAAAGTTTTGGACAATATTATTTGCATTTTTGTTAGAATTTGGGGAGGTTGTTGTCTTTTTTTTGTCTCCTTGAGTCACATCTCTGATAAATCATATCCCTTTGGCTTCCTCAAGATCCCTTATCATTTTTATGAAAACAGACACCTGTACGGTATATGTTTCTAAGACCTAGAAGCACTAAGATGAAGTTGGGAAAAATGAGAATGTGAGCTCTGTATTTTTGACATTTGACAATTGGTGTTCGTGTCGTTCATGCCCTTTCCCTGAAAGTTAAATGAGTTTCTCTTGATCTCAGGGTTTTCTGCAGATTTGAAATCTGTAAATGAAGAGGTCAGATTCTCAACATCTTGATTTTTTTTTAAAAAAATTATGTATTTGTTCATCTTTGTCACTATGTGATATTACCTGTATCTGGAAAGCTGCTGCTGAAGATAATGCTGTCCTGTTTTCAGAGCTGGCAGGTGGGGAGACAGACAGTGTTGTGGAAAGTCTGACAGACACTGACAGCGTGAGAGGTCTTGGAGAAACCAGAGACTTCCTCAACATGGTAAGAGATCAATGACATCATCTTAAATGTTGCTCAGAAAAAAAGACAAATATAACATTTTGCTGCTGATTTGATCTCTGCTCCTTCCTGACAGACTCATGTGATGAAGATAGACCCCAGTGATAAAACCCTCACGCTGTCTCCAGTTCAAAAGGTAACTCAAACTCTTGCTTTGTGTGCTATGTCCTTTGATGTTTCTGCATGTCTCTTCCTCTCTAATGCATGCCTCTTTTTTCCATCCTTTTCTTGCTTTCTTACACCGAGGATAGAGGAAGGGTAAGAATGGTAAGGCTATAAAAGAACAGAGTCAAAGAAAGCAGAAAAAGCTCTCAAAGCAGAGCAGTTTCTCTTCCTCTTCGCTGTCTTGTAAGAGTGAGGCTGCCTCTCCCCTCCGGGCATTACCCACTGAACTCCTGAGGAGTCGTAGCACTCGTACTCAGGGCCCGCAGAGCCCCCAGAGACATCAGAAAAGCAACCAGAACAAGGTGAATCTGATCTTGGCTGTAGAGGAGTTGCAGGAGAGGCCCAGTAAAAACAAACCTACAAGCATCAGGGACATAAATAAGGCAGCATCCAAAGAGCAACAAATGCAAGTTCACAGTAAAAGCCAGGTGATAGGGGTTCACAGGAAGCTGGCAGCAGACTCAAAACAAAGTCCAGAAACTATGAAGAAAAGATTAGATTTCAACTCTAAATCTGCTAAAGTTGAGAAAGTGGAGTCTAAGCCTGTGAGGGTTAAAAGCAAACCCTCAGGAATCAGTTCACCAGGTAAACTCAGTCATACAGACTCAGCAAGCTTTCACCTGAGTGACACTTTGGATGAAGAGAGCATAGTGGGCTCTCAGCAGGTTTCTGAGGTGAAAAAAACCCCCAAATCTAAAGAGAAGAAAACAGATTTGTCTAAGAAAAACAAGAATGAAAAAAACATGAAAGAAGCTCAAATCAAAAAAGGGTCAGAGGTTCAGGAAAAGTCAACAGATCTCAGCCTGCATGTTGGAGCTGCTTCGCTCGCCGCAGGAGCAGTTTTGATCCAAGCTGGAAGACAATTAAGCTCCACATCCCTTTCTGAGAACAGTTGTGCAGTACTTAAAGAGAGTGTGACTGAATCACTGAGTGAGGAATCTGAATCTTACGCTGCCAATTTTAGCCACAGATCTGCTGTCAGCATCAACATCATACCTGCACCTGAAAGTCCTGAAATGAGGACAATCTCAGATCAAAGTGAACAGCAGATGGACTCTGCCGCAATCAAAGAGGAAGAGGAGGATATTGACGAAGAGGGTGAAGAGGAAGAAGGGCAAACAGATGCAAAAGTAAGCGAGGAAGAGGAGGATGTTAGTCACATTATTAAGAAAGTGGCAGAGAACACTGAGGATGAAAAAGAGAGTGACACTCTTCACTCTGGAGAGAAGTCAGACAGCGATGTAGATGAGGAGGAGGATGAGAGCAATGTTGTGGTAGAAGATGAAGAAGAGGAGGAGGAAAAGAGTGGAGTAACAGAAAGTGAAAGCAAAGCAGAGACTGAAGAGAAAGACAGAAACGGAGGTGATGTAGAAGAAGAGGAGTCGGAGGAAGAGGAAAGTGAGGAAGGGTCAAGTCGCGAAACAGAGAGCAAACGTGGAGATACTGAAAGTGACTTGGATGAAGGGGACGAGGAAGAAGAAGGGAGTTTGGAGAGTGAGGGTGAAGAAGATGAGGTTGAAAGTGAGTCTGTGAGGTCTTCAGAGAGAGAAGAAAGTGAGGAAGAGAGGGAAACCGAAGAAGGAGAAGATGAAAAAGAGGAGGAAGAAAAAAGTAGTGCTGAAGAAGTAGAAGAGAGTAGTGAAGAGGAAAACAGTGAAATTGAGGAAGAAGAGGAGGAGGAACAAAGTGAGGAAAAGGAGGAAGAGACAGAGGATGAAGAGGAGGCAGAAGAAAAAGAAGAGGAACAAAGTGAGGAAAAGGAGGAAGAGACAGAGGATGAAGAGGAGGCAGAAGAAAAAGAAGAGGAACAAAGTGAGGAAAAGGAGGAAGAGACAGAGGATGAGGAGGAGGAAGAAGAAGAAGGAGAAGAGGAGGAAGAAAGTGAGGAAAAGGAGGCTGAAGCGGAAGATGAGGAGGACCAGAGTGAGGAAGAAGAAGAAGAGGAAGAAGAAGAGGAAGAGAAGGAAGATGAAGAAGAAGAAGAGGAGAAGGTTGTCAAAAGGAAAAGGTCTGCTGAAGTGAAAAGACAAAGTGCTAAATCAGCAACTAGAAGCAAACTAAGGTTAGGGGTCAAAGGTCAGGCAGCAGGTGAGTCAGAGGAGTTCTGGGATGATGTTTTACCTCAATACCTCAATCTGAAATAATAAGAGCCCTTATATCAATCAGCGTGTCTATTGATTTATTGAATAACAGGAAATGGACACGATCAAAGTCTGAAAAGTAAAAAAAAAAAAAATTGTTATAAAAATGGCCATACTAGAAAAGCTTGATACAGGTAACATTACTTTTTCTGTATAAATAGTTAAAACTACATTGTATTCAGTTTTGTAGGAGATTACTCAGTTAATTAATTAACATAACCAAAACAATGTCAGGAGAATAAATTGCATATTTTTATATAAAGTTTTGTCATCTGCAAAGAAAATCACTAAAATACATTTTGTCTTCCCTTCTCTTACATAAGTGGATTAGCCAGACAGTTAAGCCAGGTTATATTCTTAAAATGTCCAGTAATAGATATTTGTAGATGTATAAAATATTAGACATTTAAAGTCAATATCACATAGTTTACATTAGTGAATTAGCATGTAATATTGACCCTTTCGAAATGCACGACATGCAGTGTGGATGTGACTGAACAATAGAAGGCAGGTAGCTTAAAATATCAAGTATCCATGCTAATGCTGGTGAAATAAGGATGGCATTCAATGTCTTGGTTAAAATTGCCTTGCAGGCAGTACTTAAATGCAAAAGCACAACAGATGTGGATTTCACATAATTATTTTTGTTTTCCAGTATTAAATTTTTTATTGACCTTATTTTTTCCTAGTAAGATATTATTCTTTCTCTTTTTGCACCTGGAGACTATCTGAGCTTTCATGTTCTACACAAATTTCCATGTGTTTATCATCTATCTTTTGTGTTTGCCAAAACTACTTAAGTAGAATTTTCAGGTATCTGTACTTGACTCAAGTAGTTTTTTTTTTTTCCAGATAACCTTTTATCTTTACTCCCTACATTTTTAAACAAATATCTGTACTTTCTATTCCTTACATTTTCAGAACGTCACTGTGCGCCTTCAAACCGATTTGAGGCTAAACAGTAACACATGAGAGGAAATCCAATTCGTAATCACCAGAGCATGCGCCATAGTGAGGGGTTTAAGTTCGGGCCTGTGGTTTATTTGGAGCAACACCAGGACGAGTGCAGGTGTCCATGAGTTGTGGTTGCATTATTTCTGCATCTAGGTAGTGCTATAAAGGAGGGGTAATTTCAAATGCAGCATTTCTGCCAACAAACATCAGCAAACACAAACTGTTTGTGTCTACAGTTTGTCACAGTGTGTTGTTAGCCAAAGGTCCAGACACTGTATTTCACAGGGAGAGAAAAGAAAGAGCTAACTTCACTAAACGATGGAAATAGATAAGGAAGACAGGAGGTTATATTTATAAGTACGGACTGCTCAGTGGTATTTGATAATTTTTTTTCATATTGTGAAGCATGCTGCAAAGCAAACTAAGGTAGATTATCTGTGTTAGTTAAAGGTTGCATTAAAATAATCTAGTGCAGGATAAGCTGGTTAGCTTTCAGTAAGGTGATGTTATGAATTTGAAGTTAAGTTGATGAAGTTTAGATTCATTCACTGAATTCCACCTCTATATTGTTTAGTATAGAGACAGCATAAACAGTGCTGACTGCAGAGAACAGCAGGGCAACTCATAAAATACCTTCTTACATTTGTTGAATTCAGTTCTCCACAGAGAGCAGTAAACCTCAGAGCAATAGCCCAGATCAGCTGATCACAGCCTGTACACTCAGAAAATATACTGGAGCCCACAATAGAAATTGTGATTCTTTTCCCCACACTGAGCCAATATAACCTATTTTAGGGTTTCACTACCTACTGAATCCCACTTTAACCCCTGAGTGTACTCATTTTCTGTTTAGAGGCAAAGTCATTTTGTACAATGGAAGCAAAAGAAAATAGAGCTATTTTTGTTTCCTTCTTTTTCTCTGCTAATTTTCAATTAAGATTTAAACTAAAGTTTGCATTCTCAGTTATTAATATTTTATTATTACATTAATACAGCACAAGCTTCAGTTAGCTTTGCACAAAAATCGCTAGTAGAAATGTCCTTCAAAGAGGTACTCTTTACTTTCTTACTTTGAATACATTCATAGCCAGTACTTTTTCACTTTCACCTGAGTAAAGAAGTTAAATCAGTACTTAAGTACAGAATGTTTGTCCTTTTTCCACTTCTGGAATACACAAGCTTCTTTGTGTTTATCTGAATTTTATGTTTTCATTCTGAAACAGCTGGAACATTTGCATGTACTGTGCCTTTCCCTCTTACATGTTAACCACACCATCTTTTTAATTTAATATATTATGAATGTGTTTCTTTATAGCTTTCTGAACCCTTTCTCTCATAACGTTGTGTTGTTTTGGGCTGCTTTTGTATTTCCATCCAGCCTTTTGCTTTTGGTTTACGGCAATGCTTACTCATGTTTGTCTTAAGTATTGATTTCAATGCTTTTTGGTTTACTTATATTTCCTTGGAAGCCTTTTCTTTTTGCTTCTGCTTCTGCTCAGTTATACATGGCTCTTGCAACCAGAATTCTCTGAATTTCCAGTAATATGACTAATAGAGTACCCAAATATTCTTCAAACCTTCAGCCTTAATCTTTGTCTTGCTCAAATTTAAATATTTTATCTGGAATTATTTATGTTGCTATTTCTGTTAATTTGTATTTGTAATAAATATTTGTGTTGCATTACATTGTGGGTTTTTTTATGTATTAGAACATAGGACATTTGTTAAAGTAGTTCTTAATGATACTTAATAGTCAAAATTGTTTGTGTACATTCACTACTAAACAAGATTGTATTAGTTATTTAGACCAGGCTGACATCTGCTTCTGCTTCCATTTCATACGTAATTGCATGCCAAAATCTTTCATTTTTGTAAATGTAACTTTCTTCTGAGAAATTAAAAAAAAAAACTCTCAAAAAAACAATCTCAGTGGAAAAAAGGCAAAATTCAATGAGTGTTAAACATTAGACTGTTGTATTTATTGTATCCAGTATGTCTTGCCCTGTTATATTTTGATATACCTTTATTAGTCCCTCAAGGGGAAATTTCATAAGGCTGCCGACCTATTGCACGCATTGGCGGCGCCATCTTACCCTCCGACCATACATACATTACACAAAACATCACATGGGGAAGACAGGTCAGAGAGGTATAACAATGGAAAATGCACCACATGAGGAAAGATAGGAGAAAAAAAATAACTCCCCCAGACTGAGCTCCAACAGGGAGATCAGTTTGAGAACAGAAAAAAACACCTCTGCACATAGCACATGAAAAAACTTTTAATACACCAAAGAAACACATGACAAGCAACAGGGGTGGGTAAAGGGTGAGAGACAGCCGATTTAGACAGTACATCCGGGCCTGCAGCCTGTGCGCTGGTCTCCCTGATCCACCGTCAGCATCGGAAGGGAATAAGCGTCGAAGGCGTTTGGAAAGGGAGGGGGGATGAGTGTGTGCATATCAGTGTATATGTATGTGTGTGCGTGTCCAGAGTTCAGCTGAGACAGTGTCCTTCGCCCTGCTAGGCTAAGTAAACAGTCTTCCAGCCAACCCAGGTGGCCTTGTAGGGAATGGGAAGGAACAGACTAAACACAGTAGTTATCAGGGTGTTGTTGTTCAGCTCCAGCCTTGAGACCGCAGCTGGCGCCAAAGGGGTATCCGCATGAAGTGATGGTGGTTTTTACTTTAGTGCGAACAGCTCATATGAATTTCAAAGCAGTTCTACAGTCCAACACTGGTCTCTCAATCTCCCCTTGGAGAGCCGCGAGCTTCGCCATACTTGCGTTCTGTGATGTTGTCATTTCTTGTGCTCAAGGAGCCGATTCTGAGAACTCACGGCAGTGTGCCTCCCCGAGATGTCATCCAATTTGCGCCCAGAAATGTTATTCCGAGCTAGCCCTTCCGCAATGTATCCAGTCTGCAGTCAGAGATCTTATTCTGAGTATTCACAGCAGCCGTAGCCGTTCCAAGATCTTATCTGTGCTGCACTCAATGAGCCCATTTTGAGAAACTCACGCCTCTCCCATCGTTCCAATCCCAGCGGGCAGCCTTGTGGGGTTTTGAACAGCCGGTTCCGCTTTCTTAATTCTTCGATAAGTCAGGGCCATATAATGCCATATAATGCCTGGAAAAGACTACAGCCAATCATGTGGCGTGAACCTTAATTGATACTACGATATACTATTAAGTATATCGTGTTTGAGTGTTATTTAAAAGAGATTTTAAATAACACTCAAACATTTTTTAAAATTTATTTATGTTTTTGAAGGACGTCTTTCTACTGAAACACATTTTATAAGATTTTTGGTGGAAATAGTAGGGGTAACAGGTTCTTTGTGGGACACCATGTTCATTACATGCAAGTTAGGTTAAGGACAATCACGTATGCAGATAATACCTGATTAGCAGGGTCAGTGGGAGTTTTATAGTATATTCTTTGAAAGATAATAAATAAATAAAATTAGTTTAGAATGAAGTCACTCAAGTACTTTGAATACACATCGAATATTTAATTTATTTTATTTAATCTCTCACTACTTTATTCTTTTTTAAAATTTTGGGGGAATTCAAGCAGTATATCATTAAATAGACAAAAATTGAAAAACAACTGTCATGACTCTGCAGGGCACAAAAGCCCATCGGGCTATATGATAACCCGACGGGCGGGGCTGAGATAGATTTTGGTCGCCCGACCGGAGATATAGCTAGCTCCGGGACGTCGGGCTAGCGATTTTGCGAGCCCTGAAGAGGAAGGTTTTTTTTTTCTTTGGGAAGTAGCCGAGACCAAAAGCTGAGCTAATGAAGAGGAAACATTTGACTTTATGATGCAAATATTTAACTGAATTATAAGAAAATCTGCCTTTTTCAGCCTCAACTGTCAAAAATATCACAGTGGACACTGACAAACTCACTTTATCAGTAAGGTGCCAGACTGGTGCTTTATGTCTAGCATATTTCAAGAAGATGATGATGTGAGGAAAATCTGTTCCTCTGTTTCAGTGTCTGTTTGGTGTGTTCAGGATAAGATAAGGTTTGACTTGTTTTCGTCTAGTGATGATGCTGTTTTAGCGTAGAGTAATTCGTCTAATTCTAGCATCACTATAGTCTTTTCCAATCATTCCTTGCTTGTCAGTTAATTCAGCTGGCAGAGCATATATTTTATTCTGTATAGTAAAAACATTAGCATCAAACTAGAAAGTGCATATTTTTCATGTCCTTTACTTGTTCTTTATTTTAAAGAACAAAGGAAAGGACAAGAACAGGAAAAAATGCTTTCCATTCATTGCAAATCGAAAGCAGTTTTTTTTTGTTCAACTTAAATAAACTCATGCCTTTGTGTTGTTGTTATTGGAATCTGCTAATATTAACCAAGCAAGGCCTCAGTCACACAGACCTAGAGACTGGACTTGTAGCCACAGGTCCTGAAAAAAGGTGAACTCCACGACTAGGTGGTGAGTGGTATCTAGAGGTTGCTGGCAGTGTTGGATCAAAAACCTTGTGATTGCTTTTGTCACTTGTGAATTATGGTGATCACCAGTAATTTCCAGGGAAGATGCCAAGTTGTGTGCAAACACTTGCAAACCAGTCCCAAAGCAATAGTAAAACAAACAAATAGTAAAAAAAAAAAAGTATTACATAAACCAGATAGCGAGACCGTTGCCATAGTAAAGCACAACTTTTTTCCTTTGAAGGTGCATGGTCTGCATTTCTGGTTTGTGTCACACACTTGACAGTTTCACTACCACTCATCAAATAGTTGGTGATTGACCAATTAATGTCTTCTTTAGTGTCTTCCTTGCAATCTGCAGGTGATCTGCTAGCAGCTAAAACAATGACAAGGATGTTTTCATGGCAGCACATACTGACTTTTCCGTAGCAACCAGAAGTTGTGAGAGAATCACAGACAAATCTCTAGGCCTATGTGGCTGAGGCCTAAAACTGCTTATGACTAAATATTTTTCATGTCCTTAATGCTCCTGTTTTTGCAGGACTTGACAAAAGGGTTTGCTGAGACATGGACCAAAGGCGAGGAACAAGGTCAAGAGGAAGAAGAAGAAGGAGAGGAGGAAGATGATAAGGTTGATGATGATGACGAGGTGGAGGAAGACGAGGAGGAGAACGACACATTGTTGTCCTCGACAGAGAAACCAGTAGAAGAGACCCAGAGTTGTGTAAATAAGTAGCACTAAGTTGAATATGGGGCATCTTTGGTTTTTGTTGGTTATTTGTGATTAAGATGGATTAACATGTGAAATGTGATCTTCCCTGAAGCCCAAAGAGGTGAAAGAAGAGCCTGTGCCTGATGGACAGCAAAGAGGTGACTGATTTTATCCTTAGTCAGCTGCATGTTTGATGAAAAATCCAAGTAAAGACGGTTAAAAAGACAAGACAGATAACAATAATGTCTGGTATCACCAGCAGCTGAAATCAGTGAGCAGCCCAATATTAAAGAAGAAAAGACACATAAATATACCACATCAGCCAACGGGGAGGGAGATGGAAACTCCAAAAACCAGCCGGCCTCCAACAAAAAGGTACAATAACTGTGAACATTGGATATATTCTTTGTACTCTGCCTTCAAAACACTCTCAGAAAATAAACTTTATTTTGCCTGTATGGGCACAACACTCCTCACTATGGGATTACCTCTATGGTGCTGCTTTTTTACGTGTTTTTAACATTCATTGTTCGAATTTCAAGCGACAGTTATGTACCTTTGTGTAAAAAACACACCTTTTCAAAGCACTAAGGACTGTGTGAGAAAGCCAGAAAAAATCCACACAGGGCAGGAAAACAAAGGTTCCACATAGGTTCAGGTCCAAAACCATGTTGTTGTGAGGAGACAGTCATTAAACTGGCTCCTGCCATTGAAGCCTAGAAGACACTGCACAAATATCCATTTTTACTGGTTGGGAACATAAAACATATATATCTTTCTAGTCCTTGAAAAGTTTTATGGCATTACCTTAAGGTCCAATCAGCCTTAGAGCATACATTAGTGTAAATTGTACCTGTAACGGTGTCTCACTGTATAGTTTTAAAGATTATAGAAGAAAGTAAACACACAAGGAAAGAAAAGACAAAAAATCCAATGTGAAATGTGAAAACTATCAGCTGAACAGATGTGCAGATGAAAACAGTATGAAAACGCCAGGTTAGAAATCTGAATCCCATTTTTAAAAACCTCAGTATGTTGACCAGTGTTAACTTTGACAGCAAATTTTGATTTAGTTTTAATTTTAGTATTTTCACAAAAACGTAGTTTAGCTTCAATCATAATATAGACATTCAAATTCTTTTAATTTTAGTCTTTGCATAATCCTTAACCTACTTTACATGTGATAAACAGAAAGGTAATAAGAGTTAATTATCTCATCTTTGCCCTCGCAGCTCTCGCTCTTTAGACGACTTTCGTCCTCCAGGCCCAAGCAGACAAATGACAGGGATCAAACCTCAGTGCAGGGCCTTGCCGGCGGAAACCAAGCTATCCAGGGAGAACCTCCACCCCCGGCTGCTGCCATCAGTGCTGTGACTCACCAAGGTCGAGCTCCGCAGCAGTCTGGCTCCAGAGGACCTCGCTCTGGAGCCTGCACTGTGCTATAATTCCATAAAAAAAAACTCTCAGATGGCCTGAGTAATCAGAAGAAGAGCAGAGTGTGAACAAGCTAATTAGCTGCAGATTCCCTCAGTGATGCACAGCATCATCAGCAAATACACTAATCAGAACAGACACAAACAGAGAAACTGAATCCTTCCTCCTTATAAACGGTACAAACTTACCACAAACTCATTTTGACTGAAGTCTTCTATTCTGGAAGGTTATAAACAAAAGATTGTGGCTGCTCATTAATCCTGGACACACAGAGGGTAATACCACATCAAACATCCTTCGAAACCTCAAGGAAGCACATTGTTCATCCAAGAAAACACACAAAAACTTTGCATTTGTTAAAGGATTACTCAACTGTCAGAGACTATAATATGGCTAGGAAAGATTTTTAT